TCGAGGGCAATTCAACAGCAAAACATCCATGCCTTTGTGGAATATTGGCAATATCTGACCCTGATCATTAAACAGGTGGCCAACTGACCGGTCGACTGACAGTATTTGACTTATCAATTGACTTAAATGTGCTGACCTTTTCTCGAAATGTTAATGTATAACAAGAGGAGCAGAAGAGCAGGAGTTTAGATGCTCAGTTAGATTACACTCTCTCAGAAAACCAAAGGCTTTTTTTTTTTTTTTTGGCTTGTTAGACCACATTTTCTATTTTTAGAAGACACCAAAACACCATATCCAAGTGAGAAAATTGATTTAAAACCTGGGTTCAAAAGATATTGACATCCCTAAGCAAAAACATTATTTAGCAGTCATCGAGTGCCTGCAATTTTCTACCTTTAGCTAAAACAACAACTGGCAGCATGGTCCTAAGCATATTTATGCAGAAATATATTCCCCCAGAGTTCAATAAGGCTTACTCTCTAGCAAGTGTGTTTAAAATTGCAGCCAGATTGGTGCAGCTGTTTTGATTCAGACATTGTGTTTTGGATAATCCACCAATATGCTGTTTAACCAAGTACCTCCAATCAACACATGTTTAAATACTGTAATATTTTAAATATCTAACCAGCTGTAAACAAGACTGCATTCTTTCAGCTGCAACAGATCAGATGTGGTAATTCTAAATTAGCTGTGCAGTCATTGGGCCAGCAGCCCTTGTGCTCTGAGCCCAATCTGTAAAATGGAACAAGTGTTCTGACCCTCCTCCAACCATTACAGTATTATTTTTTAATATTATTTACAGATTGCCACCTATCCTGCCCAGGGGCACTGTTTGAAAATGATCATTCTTTGTGCTATGTATTGGCTTCAATAAATAGCACAAAGAATGATCAGTGTCAATACAAAAACAAGATATAAAAGAAGCATGAGCTTTTTTTACAACCTACCAAATTCTATAGATCCACTGCGTCCTTAACTTAACCCCACACGTTATTATTTAACGTGCTTCACACCAAGCAAAGCAACACTATGCAAACATGAGATTAACAGGGTGAAAAGGAGGACAGCCTTCTGACCTAAACTTTGGTCTTAGTAGCAGATGAGAAAGTAAAAGGAGCAGATTAATAGGAAGCTCCCTTACACCTTAATACCTTGTTGGGAGCTTCCCAGAATGGCTGGGGCAACACAGTCAGACAGGCGGCATATTATTATTACTATTATTATTATTATTATTATTATTATTATTATTATTATTACCCAGTCAGCACCACCCACACAGACACACAGTCTGGGTTTCAGAGATGCCAAGGATTGAACCTGCAACCTTCTGAAGCCAAAAGAGAGGCATTATCACTTCCCCAAATGAGCGCATACACAGAGTACTAAGAGGTCAACTACACATGACATGCAAGCATGTATTAGTAGGGGGTGCTGCTTTTAAAAGATAAAAGAAGGAATAGCAGCTTCGAGCTGGAATGTGGGATTTAAAGCACAGAAGAACAAGGGAGAAGAGGAGCGCTTCTCAGCTCCAAACAGCACCCCAACACCATCACAGCTCCTTCCCTGGTTCCACAAGGTTATTTTTGCCTTATACCAATGGTGTTCAGGTACTAGCAAGAGACCGAGGCTGCAATCCTGGGCGTGCTTGCTTGAGAGCAAGTCCCATTCAACTCAGTGGAACTTTTCAGTCAATGTGACTACACTTCGGCTACACATGTTAGTACAATCCCGATATCATCCGCAACAAGGTCTCCAAACACACCCACGTTTATTAACTCAACTCTAGGAAATCCAGGGGTATCAAAAGTAAGGTGAAATTAACCAGCTGCTCCTTTGTTATCGACAGCAATTCAGGTTCTTCCTGGGAGAATAAGGCTGCAAACCTAGACCCACTTGCTGGGACTTGCTTCCCAGTAGACATATATAGGTTTGCACTGCACGAGAGTGTTAACAGGATACCAGGAGAAAGTTGGAGGTAGCCAGTAAAAAATAAAATAAGAGCCAATGTGCAACACCCCAGCTCCTTCACTGTAAAGTCTCAACTGCCTAGTCCATATATCTTGGCCATTTTACCCCTTATTTTTATCTGTATTAATAAAGCATCATTGGCATGACTGAGATTACCTATGTACAAGTGCTTTGAAAGGTCTACTTGAAATGTGCTATGTAAATCTTAGTATCCCCACATGCAACAAGGCTTGGGCTTGATCCACACAGGGAGACACCTTTTCTCAGCCAAGCAGAGCTGAAAAATGAGTGTGCACTGTGGGATGCCCCCCCCCCACTTCCATGGTTGCTATTTGCACAGTAACCCTAAAACAACGCTGTCACATCATGCTTAAAAAAAACCTTACGCAGCTGCAGCTGCCAGAACCTATACACCTCCCCATACATGCAGGCTGAGCCTTACATGACTTTCCCCCAAAAAGGTCCATCGTGCTTGAATTTGTCTTCCAATGGTTATTAGCAATGACAGGTAAAGGGCACAGCAGACAGCATCACTCCGAATGTTGGGGGGTGTTGAGGGATAACAAAGGAAAAGGAAACACACCTTCAATGCCCCATTTGCGAGATTCCAGGCTGTCCGCTGCTGGAAACAGAGCACTGGACTAGAGCACGCGACCGATGGATTAAGTTCGTTACAAACGTTTAATGGAAGATCTTAAGTATGCCTCAGACTTATTTCCCCTCTTGCCTGCTTTAACTGCGCTGCTGTTTTCATATACATCAGCAATTTGAGCTGGCTGAACTACAACCCTCTCGCAGATGAGGCATTCTCTGGAACGTTTCCATCAGCACATAATGCTGTACATACACCCGGCTAGCACATTATCTCAGCACAAAGCATGCCCGGCTGATGCCGCTGAAGGCAGTGACGAAACCCTCCTCTAGCAGTCTTATTGGGGGGAAAGCAAGGCTTTGTTTGCAGATGTCTGCCTTCTTTCCTTCCTTCAAATCCACACACACACACACACACACACACCAAAGAAAAGCACAACGGTGGGATATCTACCACTTGGCCAATCTCTCAATGATTCCTTCACATTTTATGCAAACGGGATACCTAATATTACCGGGGTGTAAAGGAGAAATCAGAAGAGGAGAAAACACAGACAAACACACCCCTTAAGAGCGTTGCAGCATTGACAAATACAATCTACCTATTAAAGAGCAGCACAGAAACTCACATTTGTTCTGGTTTTAATATAAATTTGGTGGGGGTGGGGAAGGAGCTTGGTGCATGTGAATTTTAAAAACCCCACAAACCCTCTCTTTCTGCTTTTGTGTCCATCATTTTGAGCGCATGAATCCCTTGCAGAAGCAAACCAGGGCATCTGATTGTAAATGAGCGTGCACATGTTATCTTGCAGAAACTGACTGCTCTCGTATTTCATCTTTTGTGACATTTGGAAGGGGGGAGAGAGAGAAATAATATCAGAGGGCAATTAACGGGAGGATAAAGAAGTCTTTATTCTCTGGGAAAGGGCTGGGTATGTTGTTGCTCTTGCTATTGGAATCTCACATGCTCTCATGCAGACACAGAAAGAGGAAATGATCCTGAAAAAAGGCAGGAGGTGGGGCGGTGGGAGGGAGAAAACAGAGAGATGTGTCATTAGGAACTAAGGTGAAAAGAAAAGGAAGGAGATCCTCTGTGGGTGTAACTAAGCAGGGAGGTTTCTGGTCCCCAATCCAAGCCGTCAAACAAATGGGGTGGCACTTGTCTGCAGTAAGGGACAAAACAAACATCTGCCCCCATGTACCCCCCCCCAAAAAGCATACACACAACCTTGAGCTTCAGGGAGGCTCAGGAATCATTTACAAAAGGGTTCGCTCATTGCCTTAAAGAATAACAGCAGCACCACAAGCACACCACCCTAGCTAATGGGAGAATGGAAGATACTGGGGGCAGGGGCTTCAATACCTGAAATGATATGGGGAATGCTATTCTCCCCCCCCAAAAAAAATTGGGGAGGGGTGGGAGAGAAAGGGGAGGATAGGTACCTGCAGTCTCCAACAGGACCCCTCTGCAGTCCAGGCTCCCAAGCAGGTTCTGGGGGAGGAACTGTGCAACAACAACCCCTCTCCCCTTTTAAATAAATAAGAACATCCCCATTTCTCGCACCCACCCAAAGCGAAAAGCCTAAGAAGTGATCAAAGTGAAAGGGGAAGGGGGAGAAAGAGAGCTTTGCTACCTCATATGACAATAGGTAAAATACACACATACACATACAAGGACCTGACTGAGGAGGTATTGAGGAGAGGGGCTACACAGCCCGCCCACCCCCCAAAGAAATAACTGGAAAACTCTTTTTTCCCCAGTCTGAAAATTGGGGGGGGGGGTATTGCCTCTTGCGAGAATAAGGCAACCACATATCCCCCATCGTATTAGAAATGGAATAATAGAAACAGAATAATAGAAACAGAACTTCACCCACCCAAGCTGAGGATAAAGCAGAGGGACGCCTTTACTGCCCGACACAAACACACACCTAGATCTAGGGGGTGTCCCTAGTTAAAATGATAAGGAGCCCCTTCCCCAAAACTGTGGGCAGGAAGGGCCCTCTCCTCCTAAAGGTTCTCAATGGGCACCCCAACATTTGGGGGAGCCCCCACATAACGGTCCTCAATAGCACCCCAAGACTGAGGGGTGGTCCTCCTCAGAATGCTCCTCAAGATCACCCCAGGATTGGGGTGGGCACCTCACAATGGTTATCTCCGGGGTACCCCAAGATTTGGGGGACGCCCCAGAACGGTCCCCGAGAGTACCTCGGGGTTTCTTTTTGGGGGGCGTCTCAAGGCTGCGGGGAAATGAGTGGGGGTGGGGGCGCCCCTGCCTCGTGGGAGTAGGGGGGACCCTTCCCCCTCTGCCCCCCAATAATGAGCAGAGAAAGGGGCTGCCTGGAGGAGCGGGCGAAGGGAGGAAGGAAGGAGGAAGGGGCGCTCCAGGAGGAGAGGGGAGTCGGCTGGCGGGTGCCGGGCACCCCGGGGTCCGCCTCTACCTCTCTCTTGCGGTGCCGGGGGAGAAGCGGGCGGCCGGGCAGGCGGTGGGTCGGTGGGGCGAGCGGGGCTCTCGGCTTCGCTGCGGGCGGTGCTGGCGGCGTCGCCCTGCGGACCCCGCGACGACGGCAGCTGCTGGCTCTGCGGCGGCGAGGCGACGACCGGCGGCCTGCCTGCTCCTCGGCGGCCCGGCCTCCTCCTCCGCCTCCGCCGCCGACCACGGACCGCCCACCGCCCGGCTCCTCCTCGCGGGCGGGCCCGCCGCCGCAGCCGCCGCCGCCGCCGGCCCGGCGACGAGGCCCGGCCTGGCTCCGAAGGGCCTCCGTGGCGCCGGCAAAAGCGGAGAAACGGAGCCGGCGGAGCCGCAGCCAAGCGGCCTCCCTCCTTCTCCTCCTCTCTGCATCCGCGCGCACGGGGGTTCACTGAGCGCGTGCAGAGTTCCCCCGCCTCTGGCGGTGGTTTGCCGGCCACTGGGCCCTTCCTTAAGACTGGGGAGGGACCCCAAGGGTAATACAGTCCTACGGTTGCCACCCATAGGGGCCAGCTCCTTGGGGGGTGGCACCCACAAAACTCCCCAACACCCCAACAAGAGGGGCCGGGCACCCATGTGTTTGGGCCATGCAGCTACATGGCACCCACCCGGGCACCCACCTGTCCTGTACAACGCAGGATTGTCCCGTACTGTATTTCAGTGTAAAATGCTAGGGCCTGCATGGATAGTTTTGTCCTGTATTTCAGATCTTTACTTTCTTTCTTTCTTTCTCTCTCTCTGCCAAAAAAAAAAAATATAGAAAATTGTCCAGTTGGTCCTTAGAGACCAACTAAGTTTGTTCTGGGTATAAGCTTTCGTATGCATGGATCTTTTCCTCTGTGCTAAATGTGAACTTGGGTGTGATCCTGTGCCGGGAGAGCAGTATCCATGGTCCATTGCCGCATGATGGACGGTTGTGTGTTGTGACTCTGCTACCTGCCTACTCTCTACCAAGTTTGGGATTCCCTACAAATGCATGTGTTTGAAAGGGCACGTGAAAAGTCACGTGTTTCAGCTCTGGGTAGCCAAGCACAGACAGATTTACAAATTCATGTTTGTGTGTGTGACAAATTCCTGGACTTTTGGACACCCATAGTCCCCCCCCCCTTAAATTGGGTAGGAAGCCTGTGGTTCTCTATTGTTATGGCTTTGGACCACAGTTTCCATCATTCCATGACCATTGGCCATTCTGACTTGGGCTGCATGGAACTGGGGTCCCAACTGCAGAAGAAGAAGAAGAGTTTGGATTTGATATCCCGCTTTATAAGGAGTCTCAAAGCGGCTAACATTCTCCTTTCCCTTCCTCCCCCACAACAAACACTCTGTGAGGTGAGTGGGGCTGAGAGACTTCAGAGAAGTGTGACTAGCCCAAGGTGGCTACATGTGGAGGAGCAAGGAATCGAACCCAGTTCACCAGATTACGAATCTACCGCTCTTAATCGCAATTAATGGCTTGCTGCAGAAGCAACGGCCTTGCCTGCTTTGCTTCTCCGTCCCTACCCACCTCCTCAGGGTTTATCATCCACATAGCGTGCACTCTCAGCAGTTTCCCCACAGAAGTGGGGGGAAGGCGGCCAAGGGAAGGGCCTTCTCTGTGGCAGCCCCCAAATTGTGGAACTCACCTTCCTTGGAGGTTGTGGGTTCTCCTTCCTTGGACGTACTTAAGCAGAGGTTGGATGGGCATCTCTCTTTACCTAAGATTCCTGCATTGCAGGGGGTTGGACTAGATGACCCCTGGGGTTTCCAAACTCTATAATTCTATGAACTCCCTCCCTACAGAGACACTTCTAGCATTTTCACTGTACTGCTTCCAGCATATGCTGTATAATTGCCTCTTTACCTTGGCCTTTGACACGTTAAGGTGTTTCGTTTTTGTGGGACCTGCCTGTTTTGTTGAATTTATACCCTTCTCTTCAATGTTTAATGGTTTTACTTCTTTTAGGATTGTAATGATTCTATGTGTTTTCATAGCTATACTATATTGCGTTAGTCTACCCGGGGACCAGGTGAGAAATCTTACAAATAAGCTTGTGCAGGGAAAATAAACCACAATCGTGTTAAATCCGGACAGGAGTCTATTCACTCCCAAGAACACCATGATCTGTAGACAATGTTTGTTCTTGGCTCACTAGTCGTGGGTTGTCTGAATGCTCAGACCTAAGACTAAGCCAGGGGTTTGTAGCTTGATTGCTTGCTTCTCCTTGGAGCAACTGGAGAGTAAAGTGACCAAGATCAGTGCATTTGTTGTTGTTGTTGTTGTTTAGTTGTTGTTTAGTCGTTTAGTCGTGTCTGACTCTTCGTGACCCCCTGGACCAGAGCACGCCAGGCACTCCTGTCTTCCACTGCCTCCCGCAGTTTGGTCAAACTCATGCTGGTAGCTTCAAGAACACTGTCCAACCATCTTGTCCTCTGTCGTCCCCTTCTCCTTGTGCCCTCCATCTTTCCCAACATCAGGGTCTTTTCCAGGGAGTCTTCTCATGAGGTGGCCAAAGTATTGGAGCCTCAGCTTCAGGATCTGTCCTTCCAGTGAGCACTCAGGGCTAATTTCCTTAACATTGCAGTAAATCATTAACTCTGATTTTACCATGATGTGTAAGCTGGGCAGGTGCCTCAGATCAAGCATGGGAGTTGCTGAAGGTGCGTCAGGATCTGCTAATAGATCTCTCAGGTAATTTCAGAATAAATCAGCCATTCCAATCATTTGCTGAAAGCAGCGGCAAAATAGCCTTCCTCTGAAGGTGGAAAGCTTGCTGTGAAAACCAGGAGTGGGTTTTTGCAGGACCGGACTGTGCACTCAGCTCTGATGCTGTTTAGAGGCACCCTGTTCTATAATTCTAAGAATATACCCCACCGCTGTTTTCCACCTGCATCCAACTGGGGAATCTCAGTGATCTAGTAACAAAAAATATCCAGTAAATTTGAAGTCTGGCCACCTGTGTATGACTCAGGCAGGGCACATGCAAAGGTGCCTTTCCCTTAATTTTTTTTTTCCTCCTCTCCAGAAAACGACCTAAGAACCTAGTGACTCAGAGCACATCCTTCTCACTGACTATCCTCTAAGCGGGATTTTGTTTCTCCCTCCTAGAGGAAACAAAAAGACCCAAGGATATAGCTTCAGAGCATGCACAAAGTGCCATTCCCTTGGGCAGAACCAGTTCTTTGTTTGTTACATCTGTTGCTTGTTTCTCAAGGACCTCAGAGCAACGTTTTGGACTAATAAGAAGCCTGCAGGGAAGTTAGGCAGAGAAAGAGTGACTCACTCAGCAAGCGTCAGAGCTGAGAAGGAAGTTGAATCTCAGTTTCCGGCATCCAAACGCAGTGCGCTCCAGTTATTACATCACACTTCATTCAAAGTGTGTTTCCTACCTAAGAAAGGACCTAAGGACAAGTGCCTCTTAGCATGTTCTGAGCACTTTTCCCTTGGGAGGGGATTTGCCCCTAGGTCTGTTTTTAAAAACAGAAGTTTAACAGCGGGATCTGCAGCAAAATGTCAGCATTTATCCTCACCTAAGAAGAGGTGGTGCTGTGGGTTAAACCACAGACCCTAGTACTTGCCGATCAGCAGGTCAGTGGTTCGAATCCCCGTGATGGGGTGAGCTCCCGTTGTTCAGTCCCAGCTCCTGCCAACCTAGCAGTTCCAAAGCATGCCAAAGTGCAAGTAGATAAATAGGTACCACTCCAGCAGGAAGGTAAACAGCATTTCCATGCGCTGCTCTGGTTCGCCAGAAGCGGCTTAGTCATGCTGGCCACATGGCCCGGAAGCTGTACGCCGGCTCCCTCAACCAGTAAAGGAAGATGAGCGCCGCAACTCCAGAGTCGTCCGCGACCAGACATAATCGTCATGGGTCCCTTTACCTTTAAGAAGAGTTGAACCTGGGCTAGCTCAGTTGGCAGAGCATGACACTCTATCTCAGGGTTTTGGGTTCGAGCTCCATGTTGGACAAAAAGATTCCTGCCTGGCAGGGGGTTGGACTAGATGACCCTTGTGGTCCCTTCCAACTCTGCAATTGTATGATTCTCTTATTCGCCTGTTCAGGGTTCCAGGCAGGCAGGACCTCCTCCAGGATATTCCATTTAATTCCCAGATATTCCATTGCATACATGCCTTTTCTATTTTTTCTTTTCCAACTGACAGGTAACATTCTGTGGCTACAGGGCGTGATCATTCCTTGCTGGGCTCCTTTTGGGGAGATTTTTGCCCGCTTAGGTCTTTTTCAAAGACTTTTTGTACTTCCCTTAAGCAGATCCTCTTGTTTCTTACTGGCCCCATTTTGGCTCCAGTCCTGTTGGCCTGAGTTCACGGTTAGAGGGACTCCTTCTTTTCCCTGCAGATGTATGCACAACAGATTCAAAAAAAGGAAGTTGCTGTCAAAACATCTTTGGACTATGCACACATTACCGGCATAAATGCAAGGAGGTCAGGGAGTTTTTCACGCTGTGTTTCAAATAGCAATTGCACATCATGATAGACATCGGTACAGTTTGGTGTGTTTTCAAGTCACCCACTGTCTATCCACACCAGTGGGCAAAGAAGTCGCTTGGGTGTCTTCATATTGCTTACATTTTCAACTCAGATCAAAGGTCATTTGGGGAAGAAGGTGGGATGCATCAGAACACAGCATTTCTTGAGATACAGGATAGATGTGTGTTGTGGCTGATGCCGTGTGCACACAGTTCAACAAACCAATGGTGTGAGCACGCTGAATGCAGAGTAAATGGGAGCATGCACAGCCTTGGCATAAATGTGCATTGTTTGACAGCGTGCCTATGCAAACTGGGAGAGAAAGCCAATCGCATTTTGAAGGTAGCCTCTTCTTCTAACAGGAAGGATGTTTATCAGGTAAGGATTGGTGTCTTGAATCCCAGTTTGAGGGGTGGGGAAAATCTGGGTGTGAACAAGATGCAACATTGCAGGACGTTAGTTGACCGTCCCATTGCCACATCACCCTGACCTCATCAAAATCCACAGTGTAACCTCTGTAATTTCTTCATTCTCAGATTTTTATCTTAGCAAACAGCATGCATTAGTAAACAAACGACAAAATTGTTAGGGCTCTGCTGAATACAAAGTCGTCATTTCTCTCTCTTTTCTAAAACAGTTCAGTGCCAAAACCCTTTCAGGCAGCATAAAATGAGTCATTGTGCATG